CGTCTGGGGTGGGGGCTGTGTCTGAACGAGCCCCCCAGGGGATTCTGGTGCCCACTCAGCTTGAGAACGTGTTCATCGTGGAGCCTTCCTTTCTGAAAGCCGACATCAAAAGCCCAACTGCACGGTGGCCAAGGGATGTCAGAGGCTCCCGGACGGGTCTCAAGGTGGGGGCCGTTCCCCATGCCGCTGGTCTGCCCATGGCAGAAGTCCCATCACGTCAGACGGACAAACCCATCAGGTGTTTCTGTATCAATAAATGGCCAGGGCAGGCCAGACTCAGGAAAACCACACCACTCGCAACCCAAAGAGAAAAGGCACAGAGACAGACGTCCCTGCTGGGCAGAGCTGCTCACGGCCCTCCACAAGAGGCAGAGGAACAGACGCTGGCAGAGGTGCGTGGCTTGGGGCTGAGAGTTTGTTTTCTTGACGCAGAGGGATGGAGCCCCACTGCGGAGAGAGATTCACTCATCTGAGCTTGGGGCCGCAAACCCGGGAAGCCCCATGGCTCCCCAAGCTGCTTGGGAGGGCGTGGCGCTGAGGTGGTGGCCGGCCAGGGCAGCAGGAAGAAACCCACCCAAGGCCTGCCATCAGTGCCCTGGGCAGGTGGGCAGCTCTGCCCAAGACACGGGCCCAGAACTTGCTGGAGGCCATGTGGTTGGCATCCTGTCGGAGCAAGCGTCTCACACACAACTGCTGGGGGACATGCACCCACTAAGCGGCCGAGTCTACAGGGCTATAAGCAGCGATCCTGTGTCCACTCCTCAGCCACGCCATGTCTCAGCTCCCAGGCCTCCTGCCACCCTCCTTGTGCCAGAGATGGAGCCCTGGTGCCCCCGCAGCATCTAAGCAGCCCACGGAGCCCCGCTCTCCTGTCGGCACTGCTCTGCATCCTTCCTGTGGCTCCCGTAGCCTGTCTGTGCAGCCACCACAGCCCTTGAGTTCCCTTCCCCAGACTATGACTGGAGGATCCCCGTGTACACCTGTCGGAGCTGGTGCCAGCTCTGGTGACCTTCAGCGGTGTTCTCAGCAGGGGTAGACCCCGATCAGTGCACTCTGAAGTCCCCAAGGCCATGCAGCCCATCCTTGGGGCCGGCTCCCCTCCACATGTTTTCTCCAAGGCTGCCAGATGTTATAAGATCAGACCCAAATCATCTTGTCCAGGGGTTTCCAGGCAGTGTCCCTCGGGTAGGGGGCCCTCTGGGATTCCTTCAGACCCTGCCGCGCAACGAAAGGGCTGGTTTTGGCCTGATCTGTTTTGCACACTGAGCTGCCTCCCAGATGCATCCAATCCCTGTGCTGTGGAGGGGCTGGCGTGGCTGCAGGACAGCGGAGGCTCAGCCTGAGACCATACAGTGGCTTCTGAAGGTGAATGGGGCCTCCAAGCTGCTGGCATCCCAACAAGCGCCCCGGGCCTCCCTGTGTCAAGGAGACAAATCGCAGGCTCTGGTCCTCAGCGTACTCATCAACCGGCCTCTCTTCCCAACCGTGTATGTGATTGGCGGGATCAGAAAATACATGGTTTATGGGCCGGCCCGGTGGTGCACTGGAGAGTGCGCCGCTTGGGAGCGTGGTGGCGCTCCCG